TACAGAAAAAAACAAAACAAAAACAAAAAACCCACTCTATGTCTTTCTTCATGTTATGTATATGGTAAAGTAGCACCAGGAAAATTTCCTGTGGGGGAAGTCCTAAGGTGTCACAGGGTTGAGATCCTGGAAGACGTGGGGACTAGCCTTCCACCCTAAATTAAAACTCCAAATGTTGAATGGGCAGCTTCAGGACCATAATGGACCTCAACAGTAATAAGCAGCAGTGAGATGAATGGGGAAACTAGTTCCGGGCGGTAACCCTTAAAGCATATAACAAGGAAGATATACTCTTCAAATAACATTCAGACAATGAAGACCTTACATTAATTCTGTAGCATATAACCTGTGTTGGTATCCCCTCACCCATGTGAGAATAGGGTCATGGAGTGCAAAAAAATTTTTTAATAATTTATTTAATTTATCTATGGCTGTGCTGGGTCTTCATGGCTCAGGGGCTTTTCTCTAGTTGTGGTGAGCAGGGGTTACTCTCTCATTGCAGTGCTGAGGCTTCTCATTGCAGCGGCTTCTGGTTGCAGAGCTTGGGCTCCAGGGTGTGCGGGCTTCAACAGTTGCAGCTCTCAGGCTCTAGAACACAGGATCAATAGGTGTAGCGTGCAAGCTTAGTTGCTCCACGGCATGTGGGATCTTCCCAGATCAAGGACTGAACCTGTGTCTACTTCATGGACAGGCAGGTTCTTTACCATTGAGCCAACAGGGAAGCCTCGGATGCAGCTTTTGAAGGCAAATTGCCAAATAAATAGGTGATTGTTCAGTCACTAAGCTGTCTCCCAACTTTTTTTGACCCCATGGACTGTGGCATGCCAAGCTTCTGTGTCCATCACGGACTCCTAGAGCTTGCTCAAACTCATGTCCATAGAGTTGGTGATGCCATCCAACCATCTCATCCTCTATCGTCCCCTTCTCCTCCTGCCTTCAATCTTTCCCAGCATCAGGGTCTTTTCCAATGAGTAAGTTCTTCGCTTCAGGTGGCCAGAGTATGGGAGTTTCAGCTTCAGCATCAGTCCTTCCAATGAATATTCAGGATTGATTTCCTTTAGGATTGATTGGTTTGATCTCCTTGCAGTCCAAGGGACTCTCAAGTATCTTCTCCAACACCAGAGTTCAAAAAGCATCACTTCTTTGGTGGGACAGCCAGGGCCTGGGGCGTGTCATCCAGCTACGCTGAGTGGTTGAAGGGCATGTCCTTGCCAGCGAGGGCCTGACGAAACGTGGTCCACTGAGACGGAAATGGCAGAGCACCTCAGTATTCTTGCCCCAAGAACCCCATGCACAGTGTGAAAAGATAGATCGATAGATAGATAATATTGTGATATATAATTTTTAAAGACTTGCGATTTTGTACAGATAATTTTTTATCAATTCATATGGAGACAATTTTATTATCTCTGAAGAATCGTACTCAGCACTAGCTGCTGAATATCCAGAGGGCCGTTGAAAAACTGGGATGGTTTCTAGACCCTTTGCACACACCCTGATCTGTCAGTGAATAAAAGAACTAGGCATATGAAGTTAAGTCCAGAAAGCTGGAGAAATGGCTACGCCTCTGTTCTGTCAGGAGCTTTTCCCCCCAGACCACGAGAAGCTGGGCTTGGGACTTGTACCTTCCTCCAGCCACTTTCCCCCTTTCTCCACCACCCCAACTCTCTCTAAAGTAGAATAGCAGAGCATCAAGGAGTATCTTGATGTATCTCAAAGGGTCTTTCTTTCTATAGGGAAGCACTGTTTCCCATCCAACAAGAGGGAGAAACGAAGGAAGGGGAAGGAGAAGGACCACGTGGCAGAGACATTTTCTGCTGCTCACCCAGCTCTGGCATCTCTTCCCTCAAGTCCTTGATTCAGTATTTTCACGCAGCTCTCTGTCCTTCTAAATCCACTCTGAGGGGCTTCATGCAACCTGCTACCCAGGTGCATCACCCTCCAGAATCACTCATTTCTCCAATCTGAATGTTGGAGATGAATCGCCAAAGCACACACCCTAATCCACACGTCAGACTTAGATAAAATGAACAATGACAAGAAAAGATACAAAGCAATACAATATTCTTATCCAAATAGGAAAAACTTGTAGCTGAGAATTTTAAGATTATGTGGGAAAATAATTTATGTGGAAATTGAGGGCATGAGAGTGCTGTAAAGTGATTTTGCACATGAAAATTAAGAGACATGATAAATAATAGAGATATCACTAGAATGTTAAGTTTCTTTGGGGGGGAAGAACCACATTTGTTTTGTTTCATTGTGTTACATATATAGAGATAACACCTGCTGTGTAGTGATTTTACATATTTGTTTTCCGATTAGCTGGACAAGTTGCCGATGTAGTTTCATTTTAAAGGTTTGTGTTCACAATGCTCATACATCAACTTTATTTTATTGTGGATTATTGCATTTTTTATTTGCTCCTCCATCTAAATAATTGGTGCTTTTTACATTTTATTTTTGGAGTCTCTCATTTTCCTCATGCCATCAGGATCCCAGAGATGTGAAATATCTTGGATACTTGTTGGGGGAAGTGGTTTCAGATCACCTTTATTTGACCTGCTTCTTTCACCAAAGCTAAACAGCAATTTTACACCACAACTCCTACTCCAGAATGGCCCAATCTCAGCCCTAGCTCAGCCTGTGATATCTGTGTGTCCAAGCACACGTTTCTAGTCCATTTCACGCATATCTCAGTTCTGCTGCTTCTCCACTGCCTTTGCTGTCATCTTCTCTCTGAATGCCGGTGTTCCCTACATCCTTGTCTTTTGTCCTGTCTCTCCTGTTCCTCTGTTCTGTCTCCCTAAGTGATCTCATCCATTCCCATGGCTTTAAATATCACATACACATTGCTGAATCCCCAATACATCTCTCTAGGCTTGACTTGTCTTTTAAGTTCCAAATCTGTATACTCAATCTGCTACCTGATATTTTAATCTGAACATCTTACAGGGAAAACAAACATTTTAGCAAGTCTAACGTGGAACTTCTGATTTCCGCTTCTCCTTTCACCCCCACCCACAGCCAGCTCCCCTGGCCTTCTGCCCTAGGTCAGTCTATTGCCTGTATAGTATAATACGTAAGTCCGTGTATAGGGCACTATTGTAAAATCACCCAACCGACTGCTCAAACCAGGGAGCCATCTTGGGTTCTGATCCACTTCCTTACCCTCCAACACCAATTCATGAGCAAATGTCATCATTTTTACCTTCAAACTAACTCTTGAATTTGTCTGCTTGTCATCAATTCCATTCCCCACCTCAAATGCAAGCTAGCACTGTTTCCTGTCAATACTAAGGTTACAAACCACCCTCCCCTGCTATAAGTCTTGCCCCTTGAAGAACTAGTCTCCACACAAAAGCAAGAAGCTCAGAATGCCTTCCCTTTTACTGGTCAGTAGGCATGCCCCCTCTGTACTGGGAATACAATACGAATGGTCACTGTGGTCTGCCAGGCCCAGCGTGGAGAATACCTGCCCTCTGCACCTACTCATGTTCACCGACACACATCCCCTCGGCCTCCCTCTCCAAGCCCAGGCTGTGCTCCGCACATCCCGGCATCTGATGGTGCCTAAAACATGACCTAAGCTTCCCTGTGCTCAGACCTTGGAAGCTGCTGCTTCCTCTGCCTGCAGTACTCTTTCCTGGCTTTTTGTCTTTTTTTTGTTTGTTTCCTTACTGTTGTGACAAGTTGTGTTCAGTCACTAAGCCATGTTCAACTCTTTGCAACGCCATGGACTACACAACGCCAGGATTCCCTGTCCTCTGCTATATCTCAAAGTTTGCTCAAATTCATGTGCATTGAGTCAATGATGCTATTCTAACCATCTCATCTTCTGCCGCCCCCTTCTCCTTTTGCCTTTACTCGTTCCCAGCATCAGGGTCTTTTCCAATGAATTGGCTCTTTGCATCAGGTGCCTAAAGTAAATTACAGACATGTAACAAACCCCTGTGTACCTGCCGCTGAAAATTAATGACTTAACATTTTGCCTGTTAACATGAATTTGATCAAACTCTGGGAGATAGTGGAGGATAGACAAGCCTGGCGTGCTACAGTCCATGGGGTCACAAAGAGTCGGACATGACTTAGTGACACAAGAACATTTTGCCATTTTCCCTCAGTTGTTAACCTCAAAAGAATGGAACAATATAAAGCCCCTCTTGTTCTTCCTCCCCACCCCTTCTTTCTGACCCAGCCCCGATTTTGTGAAGGCACTCACAACCTGGTCTTTCCCATCACCCTCTTGTGTTTCAGCAAAAGCCAGGGGTGGCTGGATTTTGGCCAGGGGACAGGAGGGCAGGTTTTCCTGGATGCTGTGCCTCACTTTTCCCCAGATTCCACACTCGGCAGACTGAGGCCCTTCCAGAGACTGCTTCCCTCAGTATCCTGCCCTCAGGGTTTGCCTTAGACAGCAGGACCTGAAATTCCAGGCTCTCTGAATTTCCAGTCTAACACCAAGTCAGGAACAAAACCGTGTTCTTGCTTGTTCAGTCCCCATCATCTGTCATCTGCTTATCTCACATGTGGGTCTGCTCAAAATGAAAACCAACATCACATCACACACACACACACACACACACAAACAAAAACCATATCAATGTCTCCACGTGCTCCTCCCTGAAAACGAAAGAAAAAAGATTTTCCCTTCTTTATCTAATCATGTTTTGGTTAGTATATTGTTTGACTATAATTATGTGTGTTTATGGTTCTCCCTAGTTGCCCAACTGGTAAAGAATCAGCCTGCGATGCAGGAGACCTGGGTTTGATCCCTGGGTTGGGAAGATCCCCTGGAGAAGGGAACAGCTACCCACTCCAGTGTTCTGGCCTGGAGAATCCCATGGACTGGATAGTACATGGGGTTACAAAGAGTCAGACACGACTGAGTGACTTTCACATATATGTGTTTATAATCAGTGCTATGGAAAATGTACTTAGACAAGGTTGAGTCTCCATCAGACGCGATTCAGAACTGACCTGTTTCTTCTCTCTGCTTGCAGGTTGTGGCATGTATACGCTCCTGTCGTCTGTCACAGCTGCTGTCAGTGGCTTCCTGGTGGGGTATGAACTTGGCATCATCTCTGGGGCTCTTCTGCAAATAAGAACCTTGTTAGCCCTGACCTGCCATGAGCAGGAAATGGTGGTGAGCTCGCTGCTTATCGGGGCCCTCCTGGCCTCTCTAATCGGAGGGGTCCTGATTGACAGGTACGGGAGAAGAGCCGCCATCATTTTGTCCTCCTGCCTTCTCGGACTTGGGAGCCTGGTCTTGATTACCAGTTTATCTTACACCACTCTTATAGGGGGGCGCATTGCTATCGGAGTTTTCATTTCACTCTCCTCCACCGCCACTTGCGTCTACATCGCAGAAATTGCTCCCCAACACAGAAGAGGCCTTCTCGTGTCACTGAACGAGCTGATGATTGTCATTGGCATTCTTTTTGCCTACATTTCAAATTATGCATTTGCCAACACTTCCCATGGCTGGAAATACATGTTCGGCCTTGTTATTCCCTTGGGAGTTTTGCAAGCCATTGCAATGTACTTTCTTCCTCCAAGTCCTCGATTTCTGGTGATGAAGGGACATGAGGAAGCTGCTAATAAGGTTCTTGGAAAGCTGAGAGCTATCTCGGATACAACGGATGAACTCACTGTGATAAAGTCATCCCTGAAAGATGAATATCAGTACAGTTTTTGGGATCTCTTTCGTTCAAAAGACAACATGAGGACCCGAATCATGATAGGTTTAACGCTAGTATTTTTTGTACAGATCACTGGCCAGCCAAACATATTATTCTATGCATCTACTGTTTTGAAGTCTGTTGGCTTCCAAAGCAATGAGGCAGCTAGCCTCGCCTCCACGGGGGTTGGGGTTGTCAAGGTCATCAGCACCATCCCAGCCACCCTTCTCGTAGACCAGGTTGGGAGCAAAACCTTCTTGTGTATCGGTTCCTCTGTGATGGCAGCTTCGTTGGTGACCATGGGCATCGTGAATCTCAACATCCACATGAACTTCACCAGTATCTGCAGAAACCACAGTCCTATCAACCAGTCCTTGGATGAGTCTGTGTTTTATGGACCAGGTAACTTGTCAGCCAGCAATGACACTCTTAGAGAATCCTTTAAAGGGATGACTTTCCACAGCAGAAGCTCACTGAGGCCCAGGAGAAATGACATAGTGGGGAGAGGAGAAACGACCCTGGCATCGTTACCAAATGCTGGACTAAGCCAAACTGAATACCAGATCGTCACAGACTCTGCAGATGTCCCCACTTTTTTGAAATGGCTTTCTTTAGCCAGCTTGCTTGTTTACGTTGCTGCCTTTTCAATTGGTCTAGGACCAAGTAAGTATTTTAGTTTTTATTCCTTCCCTCTCTCGCCTTATGAATGTTACCAATTACTTTTGACCAGTCAGAACATCCTACTGCTATAATACTTCATACATGGAAATACTAGAAGCAAGCCAGGAATAGTATTGGCCACCTCATGTTTCTGGTAATGAGGAAAATACACCTGTCTTATATCTGCTTTGTGAAATGTGCAGGGCTAGTATTCAACCAATGAGGAGCTTCCCATTATCTGTCACATGAAGATGCTTTACTATCAATTAATTGGGAAGGAATCAGACCTCAAAAGATATGTTTCTCAAGAGAATATATTGTTTTATGAAATCTAAGTTTACTAGGACATTTTCTTCTGTATAATTCTCTAGTTTCTTTCAAGGTGGAAGAAAAAAATTGTGCTTACATTTTTTCAAAGACACAATAATGGATGCATTCCAGTAATAATGAACAAGGGAATTAAGAAGGAATTATTTGGGGAAGGATGATATTTGATCACTTGAATAACCTTCCAGGACACTTTACTCTGTTAAATGGGGGAATGGGAGTCCATGTATTCCCATTGAAAACAGTGCAAACAGTCTGCAGGGAGGTAGCTACAAAACTGTTTTATTTGATATAGTCGGTCTATTGCAATGACAAAGTTTAACTACTTCTCTTGAGCAAACTTTATCCAGAGTTTGCTAGAATAGGTTGGTTGTCGCAGTTCTTTAATCCTTTAGCTTCTCATCCAAACTCTAAACCTCTGTGTAGAGAAGTTGTGAAAACTCTTTTTTTTTTTTTTTTGCACCTCACTGGAAAATGATGGGCTTAAAAATCAAGGGCAGTCTTTCACTACCACCCTCAGCTTCCATCTGCATCTCTCTCTCTCCCTTCTCATTCTTCTCCATCCCTCTTTCTTCCTCCTTTCTTTCCTCATGTACAGAGTTGATATTGAAATGTTTATTTACAATGATCAAGGAGCAAATAGATTTGCTCCAAAAAAGGGAAGTGCTAGAAGCTCAGGAATAATAAGAAGATGTAGGCTGTGTTGAAGGAGAAGGAATTTCATGAACATGTGCACCTGCCAGACACTGGATAGTGTTTCTGGAAAAGGGTTTGACCTAGTGATCCACTGTTAGCTCTTCATTGAAATAGTGTAGATTGAGTGACTAATTGTTTTAATAGCCAGGAACTTGCTGAAGCTGAAACTCCAATACTTTGGCCACCTCCTGCAAAGAGTTGACTCATTGGAAAAGACCCTGATGCTGGGAGGGGTTGGGGGCGGGAGGAGAAGGGGACGACAGAGGATGAGTTGGCTGGATGGCATCACCGACTCGATGGGCATGAGTCTGAGTAAACTCTGGGAGTTTGTGATGGACAGGGAGGCCTGGTGTGCTGCGATTCATGGGGTTGCGAAGAGTTGGACACGACTGAGCGACTGAACTAACTAGCTAACTATGCTCAATGATAGTCATGAGCAAGACAGATATTGTGCTATCTTCGAGGAGGTTTTGGTTGAATGGATTGAGCTATGCTCCCTGTGTCTGCTTCATTCTGTTCAGCAATCGGCAGGTTTGGCCTGCTTAATCTGAGTTCATTAACGACTGGACTTGCACATGGCCAATGTGGCCTTTCCTCCAACTCTCTGCTTCCTCATCTTTTAGCTTCTACTCCTACTTCTTGGTGAGATCAGCCTCTAGATATTGATTCATTCAGATTCCAGAGAAGGAATCTGGTCTACACTGCTCTTTGCTGTGCCGAATCATTAAGTGGTTGTTCTTGTGTAAGCAGCAATGGCTAGATCAGATAGCACGATCTAAAGCATTGATGTCCTGAAGCTGGCCTTTTCTTTTGCAATGTGGGGAGGCAGATTTCCCCAAAAAGGACTGTGCTCAGGAAGCTAGGGGAAACACTGCAGTACTATCAGCCCCTGATCTCTCTGGCAGATTCCTAGACCCTGATACTGCTTCTTAAGCCTGAAAATGACAAATGCCATTAACGAACAGTTTCCTGGAAACAAGTTTCTACCATTATTTCAGGATTCAATTACTTGGGTGTGTACCTGTGAGACGCTTGTTTTAATCAGCTTGGGTCGCCATGGCTTAGAGAACAAACATTAATTTCTCACAGTCTGGAGGCTGGGAAGTTCAAGATCAGGAGTTAGGAGATTCAGTTCCTGGCGGCTCCCTCTTCCTGTGTTGTAAACAGAGGCAGACTTCTTTCTGTGTTGGAGAGAGACTGAGATAGGAGAAAAGTAGCTATGTCTTTTGTGTCTCTTATTATAAGGGTACTAATTCCATCATGGAAACTTCACCCTTATGACCTAATTACTTCCCAAATGCTCCATTCCAAATATCATCACAATGGGGTTTAGGGTTTCAATATATGAATTTTGGGGAGCCATAAAATGCAGCAATAACAATGCTTACGTATCAACTCTGATACATACAGCTAATGAAATAAAAATAAATTTTAAAAATTATTTTCAGAAACTCTTTAAAGTCTCCTGGAAGAGCAAGATATGAGTGCTAGCTTTTACCAAGGAACGACTTAGCCTTGTCTGTGGACCTTTCTGTATCAATCAATACAATAATCTTTGCTCACATGATAAACTTGAGGTGGTATTTATTGCTCCATTGATTTGCTTTGCCGACATCTTTTTTCCCCCCTGTTCGTAGTCTCTCAGTCGCGTCCGACTCTTTGCGACCCCACAGACTGTAACCCGCCAGCTCCCTCCGTCCATGGGGATTCTCCAGGCAAGAATACTGGAGTGAGTTGCCATGCCCTCCTCCAGGGGACCTTCCCAACCCAGAGATCTAACTCAGGTCTCCTGCATTGCAGGCAGAGTCTTTACTTTCTGAGCCACCGGGAAAGCCCTTTTCCACCTATATATTTATCATAAAACTAAAAATATTTCCTTTTTGCATCAGTTTTCTTGATCCAGTCTTTTGAAATATCACAGGTCAACTAAGAATCTAAGAAAAGAATGCCTTTTTTGTTTGTTTGTTTTCATTCAGAGAACCTCTCACATTGGCAGAGATTAATACATGCTACACATTACAATATGAGAAACATTGATTTTAAACTTCCAGAGCCAACCTTGTTCATGATAAGAATCCTCCTGCGCTCATGCTCCTCTTCTTGTCTTTAGTTTTTGGATAACTTTGTAAAGTGCAGTAATTCTTCAGTTACACATATATCTTTGATACATTACTGTATTAGAGCAAGAGTTCCCCTTTTAGGAAGTTCAGTCTGATTTGGGGGGAAATTATTGGAGGCTGTTTATTATTTACCTTCTAGAATTTCTCAAATATTAGTCTAAACTAATTTTAAATATATATATATAATTTTAAATATATATATATATGTATAATTTAGACTTTAGAGTCAACTAATATTATGTCAAACACTGCTCTAGGAATTTTTTACATGTTTTGGCAGTTTCACAACAAGCCTGGGAGGAAAAAAATTCATCAGATTTTATAAATGAAGACACTGAATCTCAGAGAAGTTAAGTGACTTGCTCACATGAAAACATGTCTTGTTTATGAAATGGACAAGACAGACAGACAGAACTGTATTCGTCCTGATGGTAACCATTAGTTGCTAGTTCAGTCTTCTCCTTGAAGATGTATTAAAAATAGGAATAAGTGAAAATGGTGTATTATTGTCCATTGCATGAAGTCATTAAATGAGCCACTGCATTTTATGCAAGATAGAGGTAGTCTCTTTTTCTGAAGCTCTGCTAGGTAAGTGAGCATGTACATTTTTTATAAGATTGAATTATGGGATAAAAGAGATTTAAAATAATGATGAAATGCAGAAAGTTTTGACATGCATTTACTTGAATAACTAAACAATTAAGATATGTTTAGCATGTATATTGGTTGAAATTCAAGCTCAGCTCCAACAAACTCCAAAATAAAAGTAGCTTAAACAAGATAGATGTTTCTTTCTCTCTCAGTTAACAGCTGGACCTGGGTAGTTATGGGCACTATGGAGGTTTCCAGCTCAGTCACCAGTAGCCAATAGATGGTGTCCCTAAACCTCATGGTAGCCGGAACTTTGATATTGGTTCCCGGTCTATCATGATGCCTATTTAGAAATATTAAGATGCATTTAAAAATTTCATCACCCTTTTCTGATAGCTGATGATCCCTTGAGAATAAGCGAAATGACAAGTACAGTCAATTAAAGGGAGGCTTGCTACACAAAGGCCTGATGAGAAGACAGTGTGAGAAATTCTGTAAGAAAAGTAGAACCACTGTGTGATATGAGATAAGGAATTTTCTGCAGGGATTAGACGTCACATAATTGTGGGAGCTGCTGAGAAAGCACAGATCTGGAAGGGACAGTTAGAGGAAAGAGAGAAGGTCACTCGTCAGGGCCTCAGAGGAAAGCTGGTGGAGTCTGGGAAGCCTGTGCCCTCTGTATCTGGATGCAGCCTGACGTTTCTGCAGGTCAGCAGGGCAGGTGGGAGGAAAAGCTGGACTTGGAGCAGGGGCAGCGAAGACCCGGGACCCTGCTAGGAGAAGCAGGAATCCCCAAGGAGAAATGCGAACCCACATCTGTCGCTCACCACGTCAATTCTGATAATGCAGGCCACCTGCAGAAAACCAGTGTTCTTTCCCCCAGAGCCCTCCCATGTGCCTGGCCTGGTACTTGGAGACGCTGAAGAAGGAGATCTGGGTGTACTGGCTGCTCCTCCATGCCAGCAAGGACAACCAGCATATCACAACAACTCATACATCCTGCATGGATGTCCAGGGCGCCAACCACCCAAGCACAGGGCTGTGTCACTTTGGCCTTCCAAGTCTCAGGCAAATTTCTCTTTTGGCCAACCCTCACCCGGAACTACATGGGGAGGGGAATTCTGGGAAATGTAGTTCCAGCTTAGCTAAATTGACACAGGACAAAATGGTCAGGTGATAAACTCGACTAAGAGAATAAATAAGAATCTGGAAAGCAATGTTTCAGAGGGTCAAAGGCTCTGTATTCTGTCTTCTGTGTAGACATTTATT